AGGGCAGCGCTGGCCTCACCCGTGCCTCTCCTGGCACCACTGTGCCAAGGTGGGAATCACAGCGACGCAGGGCTGTCGGAGAGCAAGTTTTGCTAAAAATATGGTAAGCGGATGCACGGAGGGAGGGCACAAAATAGGGCCAGGTTCAAGGGGACCTTCCTGGGGACAGTGGTACCTTTGAAGACCTGGAAGCTCAGGCTGGTTTAACAGCCTTTCCGTTCCCTTTTTCTCAGAGCTCACAAATGCAGACTGGCTGTAGCTGCCGCCTGACAGCTGGTTGTTGTTATGCTGCAGAATGCGCCTTTGGGACTGGGATGTTGCGTTGGGCATGTTGGGTTGTGGTGGATCCTGAGTACCACCACAGGTTGGAGGATACTCCCAGCAGAGGAGGATTTCACAGCCATGAGAGCTGAGCAGAGACAGCAGGTTTGGCCAAGGGAACCAGATCTGAGGGCATCTAGACCGGACTGGGAGGATGCTCTACACAGAGGCTTGGTGGGTTGTGTGGGAGTGTAATACGCATCCTGCGAGCCATGGACATCCGCCCCTGTACACCTCCCATACTCCTCATAGGTTTTTCTGCAAAATAAACATGCATTTGGAAACTCTAGATCAAAAAAATAACATGGTCTGGAAGGATTGTCATCATAGTTTGACAATCCGAAGGCAGACATTTGGGATTATTTTCCAACTCATTGCTTGAGTGGTCCAGAGTAGCTTACTGGTCTCCAGCTGGTCGTTCTGGGTGCCGTGCTAGCTAATGAGCTTTGGGAAGTGTAGGTTGTTTCCTATCTCAGTGCTGCTGATACCAGACAGGTTATAGTATGATGAACTTGTTTCATCTCGTTCTGCTGTTCATGACTCAGAAATTTATCATGTGCGTAGCAATGATGTGTTTCTGTTTTGGGAAGGGGGATCTCCAGGTTAAAACAATGAGGAGCTGATATAACTGGTTGGGGAATCTCCAGGTGCTTTGAGACTAACAGTCTGGTATTTGGGTAGAAGTAGAGGATACTTCAGTTAATATAATTCTTAAATAATTCCTGTATTTGTATCTTTCTTGCTTTAGGGAGACTCCTACCCACTGGCAGCCTCTGCCAGGCACGAAAGCGGCCATGTTGGTCAAAGTGAACAGTTTGAGGCAGATACAGAGCTCTTCAAACAGTTCGCTTCAGCTGCAGAGTGCTCCAGAGGCCAACAGCCAAAAATCTCTTCCAAAACCAGCCATATACGCTCAGCCTCAATCCACATCCCAGAGCCCTGGAGCCACAAAGCAAATGCTTACAGGAGAAACAAAGCAGTCTATGCAGATCAAAAAGACAGAGAATGGTGGCTTTTGCCTCGTGCTGATGAATGGTCCAACTTCTCAAACACCTTCAAGGAGCCAGACAGGAACTCCCCAGCCTGCATCCCCTAAGTATGCCTCCCCTGCACCTATATATGATGAGCCATCTTTAGAGTCTCCAATTTACGATGAGCCACCAGTAGATATGGACACTGAAAGTGTCAGTTTGAGTGGGATGTCTCCACCAAGGTCGCCAAGCAATAGCTTAAAAAAGCAGCTGCAGCCAACCAAATTATTACAGCATCCAGGTATGCAACAGCAGCAAGCTGCAAAGAAGCATGCAAGAAATCCTTCTTCCACTGAATACAGCCCGGCTGGCAGAGAATATATAAAACACATGGTCAATGTTGACCAGTCTTCCAAACTCTCCCACTCTTCTGCTGCAACAGCTGATACTTCTACTAAGCTGCCTGGTCAGCTTACTTCAAAGGACAGCTTCAAGCAGTCTTGGAGGATCTTGGAAGCCAACGTCCTCAAGAACATGGAAGCCCACCACGGCCGGCAGAACAGCCTGCAAACTCAAGATTACCCAACCGGTATAAGCCATCAGGATTCTGGTTATTCGACTGGCCCTTCTCCAAGCTTGAGAAAAAGGAAAGGAAGGAGGCAAGGGACAGGTCAAGGAAGACCTGGCTCTGTGGGCAGCAGCAGTGAGCTCACGGCTTTGAATGATAAGCTGATTGCTGAGATGCGTGCCGTGGTGGGCAGGTCAGCAGCTTGCAGGGGAAGCAAAGCCAGCCTTGACGCTGAAAGTCTGGAGAGTGGCATCCCAGCAGAGAACAGCAAAGTCAGATTTCAGTCCGACCACTTGAAAAAATGCATCAGCCGGAGCTCAAGGGATGACATCTCAGCTAGTAATAGGTCTCTGTATAGACAGAGCCTGGAGAGCAGGGGCAGCTTTCCCAACGATGTGGCTGCTCCACAGGACACAGTGAGGCAGAAGAGGACTTTTGAGAAAATAGATTCTTTAGAAAAGAATGTGACCAGCCAGACAAGTTTGGCTTCATCAGATGCTACACGCCACTCCTCCCAGGTACCTCCCCATCTACACCGGGTTGAATCACATACCTTTGCTGGACTGTCGTGGTGCAGAGCCAAGTACCTGGTCTGCTCCCGGGTGGGTTTAGTGGATGTGCTGCAGGCAAATGTGTCTGTGCCTGCTGAATAGCAAGTAAGTCACAAAGCTTCACAGCGTTGCAGGTGGAGACCCCGTTTCAGGCGAGTGGTGTGAGAGGAGGGGGACTTGTGGAGAGGCTTGCGTCCAGCAAGCCCTCAGCACTGTGGGTAGCTCCGCTGCGTTATTTGTTATTTATATACTGCTTGGTAATTTTACTGGCGCTCCTGTGTTCTTTAGTAGCCCTTGCCCTCACATGTCCTTTCTGTGCTGGGATGGCCAGAATTGGTGGGGTACAGGACGCAGGCGTACAGGACCATGGGCACATGGCAGAGTTTTCTCTTTTTTTCTCTCTCTTCTTTTTCTAATAGTTCCTCATATTCTGTTCTCCCTTCTGATCATTCCTGAGCTTTGAATGGAAATATTCAGAAAACCGGTGACAGTGACTCCAGCATTTTCTTGTTGGAAATAGCTATTTTAAAGCCTGTTAGTGTGTCTGCATAACTGGTGTAGTTTTCCTCTATAACACAGCACTTCTGCAGAATTTAGTTTGCCATCTTTTCTCCTGTTTGGATTTGAAGGAACCTTCTGCTTCATGGTTTTAGTTCAAATTTAGGTTCTACATAGGTAATTTTATATCCTATGAAGGTTTTATCCTCCTTCTCTTTGCTCACTCTTCCAATTATTTCAC